CTAATAAGGTAAAATACCACTCTAGTGAGGATGCAAAGAAATGCAAGAAGGAAAATGTACTAAAACAGAGACGAGCAACGAAAGTGAAGCTAGAAGACGAAGATGAAGTTGTCAAATTATTCAAAGAAAATGTAAGGAATGGGCCAGAATACACTTGTTGCTGTTGTCATCGTTTATTGTTTGAAAATCAAGTTCAAGGATGTGCATTTGAAATGTATGAGAAAAAACAGAAAGCAATGGAAATTGCAAAGATATGCATAAATAAGAGATATGTTCATGAGTGCACAATGTCTTGTTCAACGAACTGCAAAAAGTCATCATTATGGATCTGTTTTACATGTCATAGGAAAATACTGAGTGGTAAAGTTCCTGGAGAAGCAGCTGCAAATAAAATGTCACTTGATGAAATTCCACATCAACTAAGTAATTTAAACAGTTTAGAGCAACATCTCATTGCTTTACATATTCCCTTTATGAAAGTGATGTCTCTTCCACAAGGTGGTCAAAGAAATGTACATGGGCCTGTTGTATGTGTACCTTCAAACATGAGAAAGGCAACAACCTTGCCACGAAATGAAAATGAAAATATGTTGCTACGTGTCAAGCTGAAACGTAAGTTGTCTTATAAGGGTTACTTTGAATATCAGTTTGTGAATCCAGAACATATACATAAAGCCCTGGACTATTTAAAAAAAAACAACAGGTGGTATAGAGATGTTGTGTTCAATTCCACATGGAAGGAAAACTGTGAGGAAGGTGATTTGATTTTGAATGAATCCCATGAATGTGAAGAGGAGGAATTAACCTCGGAACAGACAGAAAGTCCAGAGGTTGTTTCCGACACATGCTTACAACCTGTGGATATTGCACAAGAGGTCCTTGACCATTACTTTGATGACATTTACAACATAGCTCCAGGGGAAGGACAAAATCCTGTGCGTATGTTGCAAGAAGAGGGGAATGAAGCAAAGACATTTCCACATTTATTTCCCAGCGGAAATTTTTCTTGGAATGAAAATCGAGATGAAAAGATAACCCTTGCCAGATATTTTAACAACAGACTTATGAACACTGATAATAGATTTGCGAAAGACACAAATTACATCTTTTTTTCACAGTACATGTCTGAATTAAACCAAGTGATTGAGAAAACACAAATTTCAATCCGCAAGTCTGTATCACAACTTGGTGGAAAATCTGTAACATCAGATATGTTGCAAGACCCAGAGATACTCTCTAATCTGCTGAAGAAGAATGAAGCTCTAAGGTTTATGCAGCCAATTCGAGGTACACCTGCATACTGGTCAGCAACACAGAAAGACTTATTTGCTATGCTTCGACAACTTGGTATTCCTACATGGTTTTGCTCTTTTTCTGCAGCTGAATTCAGGTGGAATGAGATTGTGGGATCAATATTACATCTTGAAAATGATACAACAGACCCTTCTAATTTAGACTGGGCAGAAAAGAGTGAAATTTTAAGAAAAAATCCTGTAACCGTAGCCAGAATGTTTGAAAATAGATTCCATATTTTCCAGAGGGATGTAATATTGTCACCATCAAACCCAATAGGAAATGTCATTGATTATTTTATAAGAGTTGAATTTCAGCAAAGAGGTTCTCCACATATGCATTGCTTGTACTGGGTTGAAAATGCACCGAAATTCAACATAGATAGCGATGACAGAGTTTGTGATTTTATTGATAAGTACGTCACGTGTGCTTTGCCTAGTGAAAACGAGAACCCAGAACTTAGACAAATTGTTTTAGCTGTACAACAACACAGCAAGAGTCACTCAAAGTCTTGTAGAAAAAAAGGAACCGAGTGCAGATTCAATTTTCCAAGACCACCATCAGAGAAAACCTTTATAACAAAGCAATGCGAGGAGGATGTTGACATTTCAGATGATGATAAGGGGATATTGAAGAAATCTCAGGCAAAGGATATTTTGTTGAGTGTTTGGAATGAAGTTTTGGATGATGTGAATGCACTCAAGACAACTGAAGAAATATTCAGCAACATCCACCTTACGCAAGATGTATATGAGATGGCACACAAGATTTTGTCGACAAAAACAAGTACTGTATTAAGACGGAATCCTAATGAGATGTGGACAAATCAGTACAATCCATGCCTTCTAAGATGTTGGGATGCAAACATGGACATACAATATGTTCTAGACCCCTTTAGCTGCATCGTGTACATTATTTCATATATATCCAAGTCAGAAAGAGAAATGGGAATGCTTTTAAGGCAAACGCAAGTAGAGGCAATAGAAGGCAACTTAAGTGCCCGTCAAACAATGAGAACAATAGGATCTGCATATCTTAATCAAAGGGAGGTCAGTGCCCAAGTAGCAGTTTACAGAGTCTGTAATCTGAGAATGAAGGAGAGTTCAAGGAAAGTGGTATTTGTTCCTGTCGGTGAGAATCCCACTCGTTTAAGTAAACCTCTAGCCCAAATGAAAAAAAAAGAGAAAAATGAATACAATGATGAAAACTTGGAAGGTGATGATGATGATGACATATGGATGACAAATATTGTAGAAAGGTACGAAAATCGTCCTGACCTACATTTGTTTGATAAGATGTGCCTTGCAGAATTTTGTTCTTATTACAGAGTGCTTGCTAAATCTCAGATTCCTAAAGGGGAAAATGAAAGTGTTTATGAATTGAAGAATGGAAAAGGGTACATACAAAAAAGAACAAGAGGAAAACCAGCTGTCATCAGATATCCTAGATTCAACGCAGAAAATGCATCAGAAAAGTATTATCAATCAATATTGCAGCTGTTTCTTCCATATGTCACACAAGATCAACTGAAACCACCTGGGTTCGAACTTTACCAGACATTCTTTGAAACTGGATTTGTGAGGCTGAAATCTGAGATTCATTTACAACCAGTGAAAACTTTAGTAGAAGATAATCGATCCAAATTCTCAAAAAATGAAGATGCTATTGATGATGCTCAAGAGGTTTTTGAACTGTATGGTGAACCTGAGGATGCTTGGGCAAATCTTTGTCCAGAAACAGAAATGAACAGAAAAGAGTGTTTAGATGAAAGAAAAATGACTGAGAAATTGGATGATAAAAAACCAGAAGTCACTCAAGAAATTGAAAACAGCTCTTCAGACTTGTTATATCAGATCACAGAGAATTCTAATTCAAGGCAAGAAATGCTTCCATTATTGAGAAGATTGAATGATAAACAAAAGGAGGTCTTTTACAAAGTTCGTGAGTGGTGTTTGAAGAAAGTTACAGGTGAGAATATAGAACCACTGCATATATTTGTGACAGGGGGTGCTGGAACAGGAAAAAGCCATTTGATCAAGGTTATACATTACGAAGCTTCTCGTATTCTGGAAAAATTACTTTTATCTCCAAATGACGTATCTGTTGTTCTCACATCGTTTACTGGCACGGCTGCATTTAATATAGGGGGAAATACACTTCACCATGTTTTCTCTTTGCCAATTGCTCTACGCATTCCATATGAACCTCTGAATGAGCAAAACTTGAGTGCAATAAGATCTAAGTTAGAAAACTTGCACATCTTGATCATTGATGAAATATCCATGGTTCACAAAAGGCTTTTGTATTATATTCATGAGCGTCTTGTTCAAATTAAGAAGTGTAAAGAACCATTTGGTGGTGTTTCTGTATTAGCAGTGGGCGATTTCTACCAACTCCCTCCTGTAAAACAACGAAAAGCTGAGAGATTGTATAATGAAAATGACGAATATCCAGTAGACTATTGGTTAGATTTTTTTCAAAATGGTAGAGTTGGATGAAATAATGAGACAACGAGAAGATGCACACTTTGCTTCAATTTTGAATTCATTACGCATTCGGACAATAGAAGAACCACTGTCAGAAAATGCTAAAGTGATGCTTTCAGAATGTATAAAAGATGGGCCAGAGGATGTTCTGCATGTTTATCCCACAAATGAAGAAGTAAATGAACATAACCTTAAGATTTTGAAGGATAAGTGTCGAGATTTAATTGAAGTCAATGCTGAAGATTATCAAAAAAATCGAACGACAGGTAAGCTCACTTTACGTGATAAACCTTTTGTGAGGACAAGAACAGATGGCTTATCTTCTTCCCTGCTCATTTCTGCGAATGCTAGGGTGATGCTTACAAGGAACATAAATGTGGATGATGGACTTGTTAATGGTGCGATGGGATACATTTCTAGCATTGAGTTTGGAAAAGGTGAGCAGAGAAATAGAGTGGAAGGAATAGGAGTGGTATTTGATAGTAAAGATACTGGAAGGCAGCAAGGAAAGTTGACCCCTCAAGGAAATCTAGTCCTTATTCAAAGAGTACAAGAAGACATCAGAGAAAAAAGCACGAAAAATGTTGTTCGACGCCAATTTCCTTTAAAATTGTCATGGGCTTGTACAGCACATAAAGTTCAGGGAATGACAACAAATAGTGTTGTAGTAAATTTAGATAGAACATTTGCTCCAGGACAGGCATATGTAGCTATTAGTAGAGTCACTTCTCAGAGTGGTTTATTTATTGAGACAAGTGATGAAAATGTATTACAGAAGAAAATTTATGCTGATCAAGATGTGAAATCTGCTCTAATTAAAATGCAGAAATTAATTCCAGACCAAAATTATGCCAGTATGATCACATCTGACTCTGAAAATCATAAAACAATCATTTTATTGAATGTACAGAGTTTAAGAGGCCATTTTCAAGATATTCAATGTGACAACAGATTTTTGAATACAAACTTTATATGTTTGACAGAGACATGGCTGAAAGGCAGTGAGAGTGTGAAAAATTTTGAAATTCAGGACTTTGAGTTTTACCATGTTACAAGGGAACAATCTTATGATGAAAGGGTAGAAAGTTTTGTCAAGCTTTGCAAAGCCAAGGGAGGAGGTGTTGGAATGTACAAAAAGAACCAGAAGTCTCTGTCGAGACTGAAGCTCTACTGGTTTGAACTTATAGCAAAGGAAGAGTAAAGTACTTAAGCAGCTGGGATTTGAAACTTTACAACAGCAATAAGTAGAATAATGATCATTGACAAAGTCTCTTTATGTTCTTGGTGTAGTCTACTTGTGTGCCAAGTTATATTGAAATCAGACCAAAACTGTAGAAGGAGTAGCATTTTGAAACAATTTTACAGACATTTCTATTTTTAATAACCACGGCAACACCGTTCATCAAAATTAAAATTCGATATACAGAATTATGAATCTTAGTGTATTCTACTTGTGTGCCAAGTTATATTGAAATCAGACCAAAACTGTAGGAGGAGTAGCATTTTGAAACAATTTTACAGATATTTCTATTTTTAGTATCCACAGCAACACCGTTCATCGAAATCAAAAACCAATACATAGATTTTTGTATCTTAGTGTAGTCTACTTGTGCGCCAAGTTATACTGAAATCAGACCAAAACTGTAGGAGGAGTAGCATTTTGAAAGAATTTCACAGAAATTTCTATTTTTAGTAACCACGGCAACACCGTTCATCGAAATCAAAAACCGATACACAGAATTATGTATCTTAGTGTATTCTACTTGTGTGTCAAGTTATATTGAAATCAGACCAAAACTGTAGGAGGAGTAGCATTTTGAAAGAATTTCACAGAAATTTCTTTTTTTAGTAACCACGGCAACACTGTTCATCGAAATCAAAAACCGATACACAGAATTATGTATCTTAGTGTAGTCTACTTGTGTGCCAAGTTATATTGAAATCAGACCAAAACTGTAGGAGGAGTAGCATTTAAAAAAAATTTCACAGAAATTTCTATTTTTAGTAACCACGGCAACACCGTTCATCGAAATCAAAAACCGATACACAGAATTATGTATCTAAGTGCATTCTACTTGTGTGTCAAGTTATATTGAAATCAGACCAAAACTGTAGGAGGAGTAGCATTTTAAAAGAATTTCACAGAAATTTCTATTTTTAGTAACCACGGCAACACCGTTCATCGAAATCAAAAACCGATACACAGAATTATGTATCTTAGTGTATTCTTCTTGTGTGCCAAGTTATATTGAAATCAGACCAAAACTGTAGGAGGAGTAGCATTTTGAAAAATTGTTTACAGACAGACGGACAGACAGACGGACAGACGGACGGACGCCGGACGCATTACTATCGCATAAGCTCTTCTGGTCTCTGACCAGTAGAGCTAAAAATGAAAAAACTTTGATTCACGAGTTACCACAAAAAAACATAGAAGGAATGGCAGTAGAACTGTGTGAGGATAGCACTGTACTTATTATTATATATCGACCAAGTCAACTTAGTGTTCGAGTTTTTCTTGATGGCCTTGAGAATGTTTTAGTGTATTTCAAAGAACGGTTTTCCAAATGTATCATACTGGGTGACTTTAATGAAGATGCAAAATTACAAGGACCTATACAACAATTTATAAAGTCTAAAGGATTTCAGCAGAAAGTTGATTTCTCTACTACAGAGGGTGGTACAATATTGGATCATGTTTATGTTTCAGAACTCATGCAAGCTGATGTACAATGCATGCCAGTTTATTTTAGCTATCATGAAGCAATTAAACTTTCTTTTGGATTAAAATGAATTATCACAAATTATATTAGGGAACAAGCAAATATAGTACCCCATATTCCTTGTAAGCTTTAAAAGATTGCACAAAACAATTTTTATGACATGTGTATTATCAGTACCGGTATAAAACTTAACCTGGGACACCAACGCTGAGGGTATTACGTCATACTGTAAACAGGTAAATGTACTACATTTGGCTGTGTCTTACACCTATTCAAGTACAATGCTTAATCATGTTAATGTCTCGTATATGTATACATAAATAATAACATTGAGAAAAGTGCTAAATCAAATGTGTGCTAATGTGCCGGGGTAATACATAACATACATGTAGTTAGTTTCCCAAACTTTGTTGAAGTGAGCCAAAAATTAGTTTACTTTACACTAATATTTTAAGCAGTCAAGCTTGTTCACCTGCTCAAAAGCTTAGAGTAAATGATATACAGATTTTCTTAATGGATTATAATATATTTCATTAGTTGTAAATTAAATTTTAAACATTCAATTTTTTCAAAGGATTACATACATGTATCCAAATGTTGGTTAATACTGGCCAGATTTAAACTGGCCTTGATTTTGAATGCCTTAAAAATTAGATGAGTTTGACACAAGATAATAAATTGACAAAAATTATCTACACTGTACAAGTACATGTATTCATAGTGATCTAAATTTAAGTGGATGATTGTCTGCACCATGGATGCTAAAAATGAAGCCCACTTGGTATGGTACATTTGCAGTAAATCTATTTAAATTAACTACTGGTATAAAAGGTACATCCACATTTTTTTTTTCAAATTCTCTTATTTTTTATGTTCTATAATGAATTCATACCTTTTAAATTTCAAAATTTTATTAACAATTCAGAGCAAGGACATGAATAGACATCTGAGTTATTCAGTTTCATAGGTTGATATTCAAAGGGGAATAACTTCTCTCATAGCAGAGTAATCAATGGAGTTTTAGCTTCAAACCCTTAACCCTGGAGTCATGAATTTCAAAACTTCAAAGAGGCAGGCATGCAACACCTTTGTTCATTATATCCATGCACCTTGTTAATTAAATACCAAGGAACCTAATAGGATTTTTCAAAGAATTAAAGCATTTTCATTACATGACCAGCCTAACCCTGTAACTAGATCCTCATACTGATGCACTTAAGTTTATCTATTATATACTGTAGAAGTGGAAAACATTGCGGTGTTTTTAATTTCACTATGTTCACGATTTAAGAATTTTCTGCGAACTTTAAACCATCGTGATTATTATTTCACGTCGTTTTTACCTAGAAACAATCATAGTACCTGAATATTTACAAACGATTCTCCGTGAAATTAAAACCACCGTGAAAGGTAACTTTCTAGCAAACCGTGAAATTTTAGACACGTGAAATTAAAGACGTCTACAGTATGCAAGTGGAGAGAGGGTTCTTTTTTTGGATCATTCATTTTCAGTATTTGACCACTAGAGTGTCCCAAATTGAACTCTTAAACCCCTGATCATATAGGAGCCTTGAATTTCACAAATTGGTAGTGGGCTCAATGCTTATTATAATCATGTTAGTAGCTTGACTGGTGCAAGACAACATGATGATGGACAAAAACAGACAGCAATAAGTCACCTGAGTGACACTGACTCAGATGACCTGTAAAGAAAGACAGTTGTTCAACCTCTGAAGATTTATAAATGTAAATAATAATCATTAGTCTGTGTTTTATGCCCTGCTCAAACAATTGCATTGTTTGTTAAAATTGTTTTGGATCAATCTTTGTTCGTTACCTTCACCTTTTCATCCTAATAACTACAAACCTTGATCTGATGAATTTGAATGTACAATTGTCAACAGATATACATGTATGTACTGTTCTGTTACTCAATATATCTATTCAAACATTATTTCAATCAATTCTCAGAATAAAATGTGCCCTTATGAATTTGTTCTGCCCTCTGAGAACGATCTTTTCAACCACATTCTTTTATCAATAAATTAATAGGTCAATTTTAACCAGAGGGCCATACCCCTGCGAAATGATATTCATGATTTTAAGAACCTTTATGAGTTGTTCATAATTGTTCATGAATTGTTCTTAAAGGATTCTTAACAGGTTCATAAAAGTTGTTCATGAATAAAATTCATGAAAACATTCATAATTCATAGTTCATGAACAAATGATGAACAAATATGAATATTGTTAATTTTCAGTTTAAAGAAAAAAACTTAATTGTTCAAG